CATTGTTTGAAGAAAAATAGATATAACGGCTAAATAGTCAGAGCCATATCCATTCGTACTCGAGCCCGACTGCCCACGAGTCGCACCACCCCTTTCTTTCCCTTCCCTCCTCTCACGAACAACATTTGTCTAGTCGTGCACAACGCCTTGCCTCTTTTCACGAAGTTAACTGTTTGCGTCTATTGGTGTCAACAACTAATGCTTCAATCGTCCACCTGCCCTCACATCAAGCTTTTCAATGATAAAGATGCATTTCAAATGATTATAATTTTTAAACAAGCTTAATCAAGATATGTATCATGGATTGAAAAATGGAGTTGTTATGTAAACCTAATTATTATTTGAAGAAAAAGGGTAAAATTTTGTCCCTCCATCCTTGAGAATACATGGCTCCACCCCTAGGTTTGTTTGCTAATGAGAAGTTGATGGGTCTCTTTCTTTAACTCTTAGACAGAAGCCATTGAAGAAGAAGAAGACGACAGCTGAGTGAGCCCTTCCCTTCCCCCTCTGCTCCAACCTTGCAGTTCCATGGCTTCCAATTCGCAAGATTCTCTCTTATTACTGCTCATTTCACTCCCACTTTCCCTGACCTGACTGCCATCTTCCGATTCCTTCATTCTCTCTCTCTCTCTCTCTCTCTCTCTCTCCACATTTGGTAAATCCAAGGACTTCACTTCAGTCTCTTTCTCCTTCTTCTTCTTCCTCAATCCTTCCAATGAACTTGTTTTAGAACTCTAAAAGATGCAGCATCTGTTGAAGCCATGAACTCCATTACCACAAATCTTGCTCTGTTTTGGAGCTTCGCTTTCTTCTTTCACTTTCTTCTTCGTTCTCCTTCTCTGGCTCTCAACGGCGATGCCACCCTCTTGATTTCTCTCAAGCGCTCCATTCTCGGAGATCCTTTGAATGTTTTGGCTAATTGGAATTTCAATGATGACACCCCCTGTTCTTGGCGTGGAGTCACCTGTACTGACCTTCAAACCGACGGTGGTGGCTGGACGGATTTCCTCAGAGTCACTGCCCTGTCCCTCCCCGACAGTCAGCTTCTGGGTTCCATTCCGGATGAGCTTGGAATGATTGAACATCTTCGTCTTCTCGATCTTTCCGGTAATTTCTTTAATGGGTCTTTGCCGGTTTCCATTTTCAATGCTTCGGAGCTTCAGATTCTTTCTCTGTCGAATAATGTCATCTCCGGGGAGTTGCCGGTGGCTATTGGGGGTTTGAGGAGTCTTCAGGTTTTGAATCTGTCTGATAATGCGTTGGCTGGGAAAGTGCCCGGAAATCTCACTGCTCTGAGGAATCTCACTGTGGTTTCTTTGAGGAGTAATTACTTCACCGGAGAGATTCCGGGGAATTTCAGTTCGACGGAGGTTTTGGATCTGTCGTCTAATTTGCTTAATGGGTCTCTGCCGGCGGATTTTGGTGGGGAGAAACTGCGGTATTTGAACTTCTCTTACAATAAAATTTCAAGTTCGATTCCGCTGGAGTTCGCCAAGAAGATTCCGGCGAATGCGACAATGGATCTCTCTTTCAACAATCTCACCGGAGTAATTCCTCAGTCGACTGCTCTGCTCAACCAGAAAACAGAGGCGTTCGCCGGAAATGAAGATCTCTGCGGGAAGCCATTGAAGCATCTCTGTTCGATTCCTTCTTCACTCACAACTCCCCCAAATGTTTCTGATTCTTCATCTTCTTCTCCAGCTATCGCCGCCATACCCAAAACAATCGGCGCCATTCCGGCAACACAGTCCCTCGGAGGTCCAAACGGCACACAAACTCCTCCGCCCCGTAACACCATGAAACCCATCACAATAGCCGCAATCGCCGTTGGAGACCTCGCCGGAGTCGCCATTCTTGCCGTCGTGATTCTCTACGTCTACCATCACCAGAAACAAAAAAACCCCAATTCCAAAACCCCTAAATCCACCGAGAAGAAGCCGCCGATTGGGTCACAACAAACCCTCCAAACTAATCAGAAAAAACCCTCATCAGTGTTGTTCTGTTTACCCACCAAAGGCGAAGAGACATCAGAGGCAACGAGTTCCTCCGACGGCGAAGAACAAAGAGACAAACCAAGCACAACCCACGACGGAGAGAACAGAGAGAGTAAGAAAAACGGTGTTCTCGTTACAGTAGACGTAGAAACAGAGCTCGAATTGGAGACTCTGTTAAAGGCATCAGCGTATATACTCGGAGCGAGCGGCGGAAGCATTGTGTACAAGGCAGTGCTCGAGGACGGCACGGCATTCGCCGTTCGAAGAATCGGCGACAGCGGCATTGAAAGTTTCAAGGATTTCGAGACCCAAGTGAGAGCCATTGCAAAGCTTCGACATCAAAATTTAGTAAAAATCCGAGGATTCTTCTGGGGAGAAGACGAGAAGCTCATCATCTACGACTATGTCTCCAATGGCTGCCTTGCATCCTCCATCCACAGTAAGTTTCCCGCACATTTTAGCTTCCACTCATCCATTCCTCTAACATGCGCATATTTCATCAATTTTTCCTAATTTAATGTAATAAAATTAAACGAAATAATTTAATCGATTCAGGAAAACCGAGTTCATCGTCTTCTTCCCAGAGCCATTTATCATTCGAAACCCGACTAAAAATCGCAAGAGGAATCGCTCGAGGACTGACCTTCATCCACGACAAGAAGCACGTCCATGGCAATCTCAAGCCGTCCAACATCCTCCTCAACGCCGATATGGAGCCGTTAATCACCGATCTCGGCCTCGACAAGCTCCTCATTAGCGGCTCCAAAATCGCTCTTACCTCCGCCTCCACCCGAAACTTCGGCAGCCACAGATCTACACCCAATCGCGAGCAACAAGAGAGCAACGTCGGTAGCGCAATTAGCGGCGGAAGCCCGGGCGTGAGCTTGGGATCGGCATACCAGGCGCCGGAATCGCTGAGGAATCTGAAACCGAGCCCTAAATGGGACGTGTACTCGTTCGGAGTGATCTTGCTGGAGATTCTGAGCGGGAGAATCGTGACGGAGAGGGAGGCGAGTCAATGGAGCGGCGGTGATGATGAAGTACGGATGAAGAAGATGATCGATTTGGTGATCAGAGAGGAAGTGGAAGGGAAAGAGGAAGCGATGATGGGGATTTTTAGATTAGGGTTTAGGTGCGTTTGTTTCGTGCCTCAGAAGAGACCAACCATGAAAGAAGCTCTGCAACAACTTGATAGAATTTCTTCCTCCATTTCTTCTTCACGCTAATTCATTTCATCATGGAGTTTTGATTTTCCTCTTTATTCATGTGTTTTGTTTTTTAATTTATGGTTTTTTTTAGGTAAAATTTAGTTTTGGATGTAAAGTGTGTGATCCAAACCTAATTAACCTCAGATACCGACGCTATCAATCTAAGTTTGACCTCGACTAAGTTCGAGAAGTCGTTTACCATTTGTAACAAATGAGTTGACAGTACAGATGTCAATTTAATCGGTGGAGTGTAGATCCTCATTTGATTAGGGGCTAGAGAGATTTCTTCTTGTTATATAAGTGGAGGTCGGGACATTGGGTCATTTGGTGAAGAAAATCCCACTCAATTCTTCTACCCGCCTTGCCTCACTTCAAAGAAAGAAAGTTCCATTTCCGTATGTCTCACGAGTTCTAATGGGTCTAATGTCCTGGTTTCATTTGTTCGATTTGCGTAATGTCAAATGTTTTTGACATTATGCTAATTAGACCAATAATAATAAAATCGTAAATCATGAAATAAATAACTGAATAGAGATAGGGAAGGTCACTAGAGATACGTCATACCGCAGGTGCCCCACTCCAAAAGCATGATCTAGTCTCCGATGACCATCTCAACTTTCATCGGAGTCGGCGAACAGTGGAACAGTTATATCTCTCTGTTTGTGTGAGGGTGTGTTCTGAAAGATGAATAGTACTTTTTATTTAAAAATGAGTAATTAATAATAGTTATATATGTACCTATAGGGTAACACTTTTGGGTGGGTACTTTGCCTCGTATACATTTACGAATTAATTTTTAGTACACATTTAAATGTCATTATCTTATTTATTTTTTTTAAATTTAAATAACTTTTGATAGTCAATTCCAACCTTATTACTTTTAATATATTTTTTTAAAAAAGTAATACTATATATATTTAAAATACAAAATTCGGTAAACTCGACTTTATTATATTAAATGGAATATTACTTTATTTAAATTATTTCCATTTTTTTTATTTTTAAAATAAATTATTATGATATTTTCATAATTATTTTTTGTTTTATGCAAACCTCTAGTGTCGTAATCATGTCATAATAAGCATTTTCTTGTTTATGAATTATGGGATCGAAATAATAAAAAATATGAAAATTTATACTGCAAAATTAAGATAAAAAAGATTAATAAATTGTATGATGATGTAATATATATATAATATTCAAATTTATATTTAATATTTAGTGGTGGAAAACAGCTTTTACAATAGATTTCAACCCTTTTTGCTATTTACGACGTCACCTCAAATATTTAAAAAGAATTAAAAAAAATATTTTAGTCAAACGATTATAAAAAAACGTCTTGAAAATAGTGATAAAATAATTAGTTTATAATAGATTCTTTCCCTTTAATTACACATAAATAAATAAATAAATAAAGCTTTTTTTTTTTTTTTTTTTTTTATCAATACATGCACTATATTCAGTATTTAAAATTTATTTTTAGTCTTAATAAATTATAAATTTTTACAATTAAATTGAATGAATAATAATTTTCTAAAAGAAAATAAGGGGATAGTTTAATGGTGTTGGGACATTTAACCCTACTTTTAAGTTAACCCAAGAGTTACCGCGGTTCATTTTAGATTTTTACCCGGTTTTGCGTTAAATAAAATTCGGGACTTGGCTTCCAATTAAAGCCAACACTTCTAAACTAATAAAAAACAAACAACATTCCATTTCTGGAATCTCACTCGCATCACATGCGCGTGTATTTCACGCTCCCCGCCAAACGCACATATCTTCCTTTGGCACTCGCTCTGTTTTCATCATAGACTAAACCTTTCTCTCACCTTCCCTATTAAACCCTAGATCTTCCTCGTCGTCTCTCCTTTTCGCTCCGCCGGTGCTTTACATTTCTGACTTCCGACGAGTAAATGGCTGCCTCTGCTTCACCTTCGCTCCGTACGTCGAAGCTTCGGAGCTCGGTACTTTCTTCTCTCTCTTCTAAGCTTCCTCTTTCTTCGGCTTTTTCTGTTAATTTTCGTCCTCGGAGTGTTGGCGTGCCGCGGTTTGTTGTGTTGGTTTCTGCGTCGTTGAATGCGAAACCGACGGTTCTTGTTGCGGAGAAGCTTGGTGAAGCGGGTGTTGATCTCCTTAAGGAGTTTGCTAATGTGGATTGCTCCTATAATTTGACTCCTGAGGAGCTCTGCACCAAGATCTCGCTCTGTGATGCGCTTATTGTGCGGAGTGGGACTAAGGTCAGCCGTGAAGTGTTTGAATCCTCTGGAGGGAGATTGAAGGTTGTTGGGAGGGCTGGTGTTGGCATTGATAATGTGGATCTGGCGGCCGCCACTGAGCATGGTTGCTTGGTGGTGAATGCTCCGACTGCGAACACGGTGGCTGCCGCTGAGCACGGAATCGCGCTTTTAACTGCAATGGCCAGAAATGTTGCCCAAGCCGATGCGTCTGTCAAAGCCGGTACGTTTATACAAAACATTTTACGGAATCTTCGTGTTCTGTAACATCTTGTTTGCTTTGGATCTGCTCGAAACCATCGAATGGGCGAAAAGTTCGGAAAGATCTCGACCTTTTGTCGTAATATTGGACGAACATTTTGTTTGAATCATTTTTTAAAATCATTTTTAATGTTTAAAGCTGATTGCGCTCTAAAGAAATTCGTTGCCCGATCGTGGTGGTTCTGGGAATACGTCATTTAAAAAAAAAAAAAAAAATTCATTGAGATGCACTGTAAAAGGTGGGAACCTGTCGGGAATTTGTAAGTTCAGAATTATTCCCATGCTTGCCTGGCCTGGATTTTACCGGACTTTTTACGATTAATAATTTTTCTCTGTAACATAGATTTAAGTAACTTTTTTCTGCATGAGACGTTCTCTTTCCCATATCAGCCAGTTGACACGAAATAGTCGATGATTTTATAGTTTATTGGTATGATTTTGTATACAAGATGCGTTTGTTAAAAGAACTACTTATGATTTTACATTTTCTCCTCCACCCTAGGGAAGTGGCAACGCAACAAATATGTCGGTGTATCACTTGTGGGGAAAACACTGGCTGTAATGGGATTCGGCAAAGTTGGATCTGAAGTTGCTCGTCGTGCAAAGGGTCTTGGCATGCATGTAATTGCCCATGACCCATATGCCCCAGCTGATCGTGCTCGTGCGATAGGCGTAGAACTTGTGAGCTTTGATGAAGCCATTGGAACTGCGGATTTCATCTCTTTACATATGCCTTTAACTCCATCCACGTCAAAGATTCTTAACGATGAAAATTTTGCGAAAATGAAGAAAGGAGTTAGGATTGTGAATGTTGCTCGTGGAGGAGTAATTGATGAAGAAGCTCTTGTGAGGGCGCTGGATGCTGGAATTGTTGCTCAGGTTCCTTTCCTTCCTACAACTTGAAACTGAAGTTTGCTATTATTATTTACAATGCAAGGATTGTAATATGTTCTTTTTCTGATAGGCTGCACTTGATGTTTTTACTGTGGAACCGCCTCCTAAGGATAGCAAGTTGATTCAGCATGAGAATGTCACTGTAACTCCTCATCTCGGTGCCAGCACAATGGAGGCTCAGGTGTGTATTCTTTTAAATCAAAGGACTTAAAGCTTGTGTTTTTCTTTTTACAAGTTTTCATGATCTTTGAATTTGGTGTGCAGGAAGGAGTTGCTGTTGAAATAGCTGAAGCTGTTGTTGGAGCCCTCAAAGGGGAGCTTGCAGCTACTGCCGTCAATGCTCCGATGGTTCCTGCAGAGGTATAAGCCCTTAGTTTTGGAATCTTCTATCTCTCATGTTTCGTATTTCATGGTCACTTAAATGTTAATCTGAATGTAGTTTATTTTTGTAAAAAAAAAAAAAAGAAGAATCGTTTGCCTTCTAGTTCTGTTCATGTTGACCTCTTTACTTCAAATCGTCATTTGTTTTCTTGATTCTCTTGCCTTCCAAGCGGCTATATCCTTGGTTTTCTGATTCATTATGCTATAGATAGAGTAAGAATCTTCTTTTGAACGCTTATCATTTATATGACTTAGAAACCTTTGACATATCTCCCCATTTCTCGACGCTGAATATGGTGTTGTATAAAAGGAAAAAAAAAAAAAAAAAGGCTAAATAGTAATCCTTCAACAGTGGGAGAGAATAGAGATTACTTTTGACATTTTTCTAGGTCTTGAGATGATTTTCAGAAACCTGTTAAATGTAAATGGTTCTTAAGCTATCAAAACCTTTCTTCCAATTCCAACGATATAACAGTGCCACTATAAATGGATTACTTTGTTGTTTCTTTTAATTCATTACTTTTTGCGTACTTGTTATCAAGATTTGCTGGGTGACAATTGTGATTTGCATCATTATTCATGTACATCTTATTTTCTGTTAACTAATTTCTCAAGTTTCTGGTATATAAGGATTCTAAGGAAGTATTATTTCTTCCCTACAGGTGTTAACCGAGCTGAAACCATTTGTTGAACTCGCTGAGAAATTGGGAAGACTAGCTGTCCAATTGGTAGCTGGAGGTAGTGGTGTGAAAACTGTGAAAGTGACATATGCATCCTCTAGAGCTCCTGATGATCTTGACACCAGACTTCTTCGTGCCATGATAACCAAGGGTCTAATTGAGCCGATTTCGAGTGTTTTTGTGAACTTGGTGAATGCTGACTTTACTGCCAAACAGAGAGGACTAAGGATAAGTGAGGAGAGAGTCGTTCTGGATGGATCACCTGAGAAACCATTAGAATACATTCAGGTCCAGATTGCCAACGTGGAATCCAGATTTGCCAGTGCAATATCAGACACCGGGGAAATTAAGGTGGAAGGACTTGTGAAAGATGGAATCCCTCACCTGACGAAGGTCGGTTCTTTTGAAGTCGACGTTAGTCTGGAAGGTAGCATCATACTGTGCAGGCAGGTTGACCAGCCAGGTATGATTGGAAGAGTTGGAAGCGTTCTGGGAGAAGAAAATGTTAATGTGAGCTTCATGAGTGTCGGGAGGATTGCTCCTCGAAAGCAGGCAGTCATGGCGATCGGTGTCGATGAACAGCCCAGCAAACAAGCTTTGAAGAGGATTGGTGACATTCCAGCAATTGAAGAGTTTGTTTTCCTCAAGTTGTAGGATGGTGGTGGTCATGAACTTGAAGGCCCCCACCCCTACCTGGGTATTTGGATACATTACATTCCTACATGTTTGGCCCCAATTTTGACAGTTTTCGTTTAAATAAGCTGGTTGGTTTGTTTTCTTTACTAAGTTGTTTGAAGAACGAGTCTTTATTCACTGTGAACGGGATCCCTTTTAAATGGATTCTTGGTCGGAGTTTAATGGCCCATAATATGATGGATCAAATCCAAATGATTTCAAAATGGGCCGGAACGAGCCGTAGATATCATATTTGGGCCTATGGCCCATTAAGTAATTCAAAATACTCATTAAAACGTTCTGTAGATATTTTCACAACATTATCTTCAAATTCACGCAAGTTTTTAATTCTCATTTCTATGTCCAAAACATAGATTTCCAATATTTCTAATTACATCATCAAATCAACCAACGGACTATACTTGAGTTGATAAATTTTAAAACCCTTGCCACCAACCCACATCAAAACCCAATTTCGTAATTTTCGTATTTCAAATTGCCTCCTCAGATTCCGATATTTTCGATCCATATCACATATATATGTATTTACCCGAACATATCATTCTCGTGTAAAAGGAGAAATATGGGCATCTTGGATTGTTCGGGTAGCTAATCCATTGGTAGCCCAAAAAAACAAAAACTTACAAACAACCAATGATGGGGACATTTGAAGAGGGAATTGAAAGAAGAGATAAATGTTTTGTGGTTCAAAATATTAAAAATAAAAAATAAAAAAAAAATAATAAATGAGAGATATGAGAAATTGAAAGGGTGGGCAGTAGTAGTAGTAGTAGTAGGGTAGCCTCACAGTGTAGCCTCTCAAAGATACCCCAAATTTAGACCATACCACCTTCCAAAATTAACCCTCTAAATCCTGTTTTTTTTTTTACCATTTGTTTCTTTTACTGTGGGTGGGGGTAAAAACCAGGCTGTCTCAGCTCACCCAAATGGACCACCAAACTTGGGACTGTGTTTGTGGAGTTAATGATGTTTGTCTATTTCCTTGTAGCGCCACAGCCTTTATAGGTAACCCTTTTCTTTTTTTCTTTTTCAATAAACCATACGTTTCAAATTCTCAATTCAACTCTTCACTTATTACAAATTTAACATCGTCTTCAACCTGATGATAGACGGAGCGTCACACTACAACCTAGACAAAGAGTCTTTTCGCACGGTTGAATCAACCACCTCTTACACTAAATAAAATTAAAAAAAACGTATACACTCTAACCTCACAGATATCTCGAGTATGAATATCACGACATTAAGTTAAAGAAATAACTTGGTATGAAACATGTTGAGACGGTAAAAAGAGAATTTAAAATCATCCGACAACCAAACCAAACCAAACCAAAACTTTTATCCGTTTTGGTTCATTTATTAAGTGTTGTTCCTTTCACTGAGATATGGTAGATTCATATGGTAAATTCATGGGAGTTACTAGTCCAACCACATCACTTTCTCTTTCACCCCTTCAAACTCTTCATTTTTACTGACTCATAAAGGTTAATTTTTCAAAAACATAATTACCATGGTTAGCATTTTTATCTAAGGTAGGTGAAATTATGAATAATTTAACTACAATTAATACACGAATTAACTATTTTTCTCTATCAACTTTGAACGATGACAGCTATTTTATAATTCATTGAACTAACAGACAAATCGTTTCACGATGATTAATTCTAAGTTAAATAACGTTCGAACAACGTTTTTGAAAGGCGATGACGAAAAATAGAGTAAATACAAAAGATTAGATACCGAGATAAACCCAAAACGGAGCGGTAATAATTGAGAAATAGGAATGAAAGTTGAGAGAGAAGAAAGGGACAATTCCACGAAAACTTGATCCTACACACATTGGATCCTCATTTGCATAACATCAAACATTTACTCACCACAGACACACACTCAGGATATGTTTTTTTTTTTTTAATTTAATTTTTTAAAATTTTAAATAAATAATAATAAAAAAAAATATAATATATATATATATATTAATTAAAAAATAAATAATAAATAAAATAAATATAAAAAGTCATGAGCATTAAGTTGGGTCATGCATAAAGAGTGAAAGCAGAAGTTTCCACAAAACAAAACCATCTGTTCATGATTATCTCTTTCTCTCTCTAAAAATAAATTAAAATTAAAATTAAAATTAAAATATTTATTTATTTATTTATTTATTTATTCTTATTATTCTTCCAAAATTATTGATGCATTAATTTTGGATGCAAACTTTGAGGATTCTCATAATATTAATTTCCCCAATATATTGTTTTCAAATTATTCACTATTTGGATATTAAATGCATTATGTGAATTTAAAAAATAAAAAAACTATTAATTTCATTGAAATTTAATAAATAAGATATTATTTATTATTTTAAAGGTCGATGTTCGGTTTCCTATTCTTTGAGTTCAGAAAAAAAAAAGACGTAAACTGTCCATATAGACTATGATCTTCATTTAAGTAAGTTGATTTTAGACGAGTTTAAGCGTTTGACAAGTTTAGGTAAAGAAATGGGGTCGGGTTTAATACTTTTTACATGATATTACTACTTTTCTCAACCATTTTTTTTTGTTTCACTTTACTTGCAAAACACTCCGAAACATAATTTGGAACCGTCATAGTTTTAATTATTTTGTTGTTCGAACTTTCAAAAGTCTTGTTTTAGCATTAAAATACAGTATGTCATTGGACGTGGAAAATTTTATGTCACACAATGATATTCATTAGACCTAGTGTTGAACATAGCTGATTCGATTAGATTTATTTGAACGCACAAGAATTTATTAAAAATACGACCGTAAAATTTTAAAATAATAGAGTGGGGTCCACATTATTGGACCTAAAGTTTGAAAGACTCTCATCCCTTCACTCATCACTAGAGTGATATATATATATATATATATATATTTGGTTAATAATAATTTAAAAAAATAAAATAAAAAAACTTTACAGCTGTTTACCAAAGATATTTAATTATTTATGAATAAGAAAATGTAAAAAAAATATGGGTTTTGGTTCAAAATTGAAACCCTTTTGATTGTATTAAAGAAGCAAGAGACAAAGATGGGTTAATTAGGAGCAAAATATTTGGTCAAAAATAGAATTTTATTTTTTACAAAAAGAACCCCCAATTTCTTGATAATTGCAATTGTAGCATTATTATTAGGGTGGGGACAAATATTGATTCAACATTTAGTCCTTTGTTTTTCTTTTCTTTAGGTTTGTAGCAACAAAGCTCTTTTCCTCAATGGTAAATTATTATAACTATGGCACACGTCTACCTTCTATTTGCACCACTCTACCCAACCTTAATACAACAACAAGGATGAGATGGGTAAATACGGAAATTGATTGGACTCGACTTCGACTAAGACTTCTTTTTTCAAATGCTACATCTTTTATTTTAATTGTATCGTCGAGGTTAGCTAATTATTTTACCTGGGTCAGGATTAATCCGTTGCTTTTTTTTGTTAGAAGGACATGACGTCAAAGTTTACCTTGGTCAAGATTGAATTGTTGTTTTTTTTTTTTATGAGAGGCTCATGACACCAAAGTTTACTTGAGTCGAGATTAAACCGTTGTTTTTTTGTCCGAGGGACATGACACCAAAGTTTACCTAGGTCAGGATTGAACCATTGTTTTTTTTGTCAGTGGAACTTGACACCGAACAAGGTTAAACTTTTTGTAAATGGGGATTTGTCAAATCTCATTTGAACTTCGTTTTTGGCCTATAATTGAAAAGGGTTCTTAAAAAAAGATATATCTATAAGATAAACCGGTTGTACTTAATTTGGTGAGAAGATCAAAATGCAAAGGAAATTCAAGAGAATTCAGATTGGGATTGAATGGCTGAAAGGCACTGATATTGTGCAAAGAAAATGCAGCTTTAATAAGAACATTGTTCAGAGAAGATCGGACAGGACAATGACTCAAACACCATTTTCCTACAGACAAGACAACCTTGGCTTCTCCGATCACTCCATAGCTCGTTTTAAGACACACCCATCTCTCCCTGAAACCATGTGGGTCTGCTCTGTTTTCCCTTTAAACCAGTTTCCAGCAGCTCAATAATGAATCAAACAAAGACAATATTCAAATCATGAATCGAAAAAAGTAAAAACAGTGATGAACAAAGACAATATTCAAATCATGAATCGAAAAAAGTAAAAACAGTGATGAACAGAACAAGAAACCAAGAACTGCTGTGCTTTATTTAATAATAATGAGAGTTTCCTCCAAAACAAAAAGGAAAGTGATCTGATTTGAAATCAAGTAGAAATGCATACTTTTTGTCTTCTCCTCTGCAATGCCATTTTTTTCTGGTCACTTCTGTTCTTGTGAACATTCCCATCAAATCCCCATCACTGCTCTTCCTTCCACCTTCCAATTCTAATGCCAAGAACATTATGGGCAAGCAATTTGATATCAAAAGTGAGAAATGGAGCAGAGCATTATAACACATACATAATCATTTCCTAGTTCTTTGGAGGGGAAAGGGGGGCGGATTATGAACTAAGAAGGGCTGCCAACAATGTCCAAACAGACCCTCCTGTTCAGAGAATGATATAACATTCTTGGCTCTTCAGTTTTGTTCTTCTTGAAAGATGGTTCAGGTGAAGAACAAACTGATGCTGCTGCTCTCAATGCCCATGAATCATTGGAGCTGTCTGAACTGAAACCAGCATCAATCACACCATTTGGGCTATCAGGAGCTTGATGATGTTCGTACTTCCGCTTGTGGGGATTGTTGGAATGATATAAGCCATTGCTACATGCCTTTGAATGCTCCACTACAAGATTGTAACAGCCTAGCACTTTGTCCTGTTTAAATGGACTTTCAAAAGTTAAGATAAACTGGTTTTGAATGAAATCAACATGGAAATGAGATTTGTTCTTGAACAAACCTTGCTCATTTTAAGAACACCCAGAAGATGATCTTGGTGCTCCATTGACTTATGGGGTTCAATCTGTTCTATAATGTTCATCATTGTTGCACTTGCCAAGACAGATGGAAGATAACCCACAAATCTTGAATCTAACAAAACCCAGAAGAAGTTTCAACTCTGAACATGAGAATTCAAGAAAAAAAGATCCAAATTTTAACATTTTCGAGTTCATTTCCATTAGAACAGCACTAAATCAACTCTACTTTTAAGTGGTTTCATGTTCTAACCTGAGAGAAGAGAAAGGAGGAGATTCTCAGAACGCTTGAAGAACTCCAAATGAAGATTGGTCTTTAACCCAAGCCTTCTTACAATGTTGTCAAGATATGAATACGAAGTAACCAAATGCATCCTCCATTGAAGAGTTGACAGCACTAAAAGCTCCATTCGCTGAATGGTTTTGGCCTCAAACACAAATTTCGCATCCTCCACCTGAACAGACATTTAATCAAACATGTTATCTACAAGAACAAAGCTCAATTATAACCAAAGCCTTTCAAGAACACAATTTGAAATGATGGGTATTGCATTTTATCAACATACTTGAAGGTCAAGTAGCAGAGGAACTTCAACCTCCTCCACTTTAGCCGCCAACGAGAGGCAAGTGACAGCCACAAGCTGGTTCATCCATGGCTTGTCACTTCTAAAATGAAAGCTCGAGAGGAACCTGTCGAAATAAGCAACGGCCAAAATTGCAGTGAGAGACGAGAACCCATAATGGGATTTAACTTTAAGCATCCACTCCACAGATGAAGAACGAGCAGCAGAGACAGAAGGATCCATTAACAGAGGTTCAAGCTTGAGATTGCTCTGTTTCAGCTGCTCTGTTTCCTTAGACAACAAGGAGAGAAGGCGTTCATCTTCCCCAAATAGATCTTCCTCCAAAACATCCAAAGAAAAAACATGGGCTTGATGGGTCTGTTCTAGCTCATCTTCATCCTCCTCCTCCTCCTCCCATTTCTCCTCCTCGCAAAACAGAGAATCGAGCGAAATCAAATGGGTTTGGGCTTCATCGTCGGCTGGCTCATAGCGATGCATTGCCATCGAATGAAGCTTGGATTAGAGGACTCAAAAGAGGAAAAAGGAGGAGCTCAAAGGGCCATCCATGTCCGGCGGAACTGAGAAAAAGGGGATTGAAGAAGAACCAGAGGAGAGGAGAAAGAGAGAGAGAGAGAAAGGGGGAGCGGTGGGTTGTATTGGTGGAGATTGTCTTTATGTTATATATGCATTGGGGTTTGAAAATGTTTGTGCTTTCGGTGTGTCCCGTTGGCGGGCAGAAACGCAACGGCACACACACCAAGCCGGACCCCATGAAAACAACCTCCTAAGAAACCTAAATAAATGCCAATGGCTGCCAATTCAATATGACAGAGAGAGGATTTCTAGGGTTTTACTTTCAAATAAGACTCTTTTTTTCCCCTTTTCTTTATGGATTCCTTCATTTGGGTGTTATTATAAAACACTCCCTTTTTCTTTTTGAAAGTTTTTTTTGAGGTTCGCCTTCTTTCTATGTCTATCTAATGTTTTAATATTAATATTATAGGCTCGAAACGTTTCACTTCTTTTGACTTTTTTTTTAACTATAATAGCTCAAACCATTTCTGGCAGATATTGTTCGTCATCATCCTTACGATTTTAAAATGTGTCTGATGCTTACATCCTTTATAAGGAATGTTTAAACACGAGATTAAAAAAAAAAAAAAAGTAAATTAAGATTTAAAAATAAAAATGGGAAAGAAAAGGGTTCCTCACGCGGGGATTGGAAAATCAAAAAAGGACAAAGGAAGGTGCAGACAGGACAATGCTTTACTTTGACCCAAGAAAGTTGTTATACCAAACTCACGCTTTCAATTAGGGGCCTTCCCCCTTCATTTTATACGTTACCCTCTCTTTTTAGGCCCGTTTTTTTAAAATTAATTCATCCATCACAGTCACGGTGACTAGAATGGTCATTTTTTATTCATCGTTTTAGCAGATTTCTCTATTCTAAGGATAGTTTTGAAAGGTTCATGAACGGTTAAGGATAATATTACAACTTTTGAAAGAACGAACAACGTTTGTTTGTATTTTTTTAGCTAACAGGAAGAACCCTCCTTTATATCTCTCTGATTTCTCGAGGTCAAGTGTACTACCAGATTGAGGATCCTAGGTACGAAAAGCATAATTCAAGAACGTATGTCAAAGTTTGTGTATTAAATTTATAATCTAACCTTATAAATACATACATATTTGATAACTCTATTAAAATTACTCAAATTTTATTTTTAGTTCAACGACATTTAGAGGGAAAGAAGAATTTGAAATATCTGACCTCTTGATGAAATACATGTCGAGATTATATAGCTGAGTTTGACAATTAAGCAAGTCATCCTAAGACAAAAAAAAAAAAAAAAAAAAAATGATACTAACTAGATTTATGTTTAGCTACATGTGTGTCTATGTGTCTTCTCATGGCTGCCATTGCCACCCACCGTTCAATTGAAGAGAAGAACAAAACATTCCTTATAAAAGTATGAAAACCTCTTCCTAATAGACACGTTTTAAAACCAAAAGGTTGATGACGATATATAATGGGCTAAAGAGAACAATATTTACTAGCGATTGCTGCCATCCTACGCCCTCTCTCGCTGCTAACCCTTTTGTCACCTCAGCTCAAAGCCCAATCCAGCAGAATCAACAACCCAAGATACTAAACTTATAGGAACAGTTGAACTACCAATCCGCAATTCCTATATCTTCAAAACGATTTCAATCTCCAAACACCATCTCAGATCCATCAACGTCGAATTAAACACGGTGATAAAGAAGAACCTTCAATTCCTTAAAAAATGAGGTGCAAAGCTTTCAAAGCTACTTCAACCACCATCCTTTTGGTCAAAAAATGGCAATTGTGTTTGATTTTCCCCATTTCATTTGTATGCTGAGCCTTTAAGTGAATAGATGGGCAGCCATTGATGGCCTATTAGTTGTCGTCCAAAAGAAAAATTTTGTGTACCTTTTGAAATCATGCCCCACATGGCCTTTGACCACCAATAACTGGATGAGAGTGACCAGCTGGGCTCTGTTTCTTTTGACTCCCCTAATTTAAACAAAACTTCAACCACTCAGTTTAAGAGGAGGATAAAAGATGGAGCAGAAGGGGGGGAGCATGTAAGCAATGAGTAGCCTTCATTTAACAAATGATTTCAACTGCCAAACATAAATAAAACAAGATGATGAAATGAGACCGTACAGTCAACCCTAGCATTAACATCTTTGCTATCATTGCCTTCAAAGAGGGGGAAATTTTTTTGATTTCTGCCAGCACACCATCTTAGAACTTGCTGTCGAAAGTTACTACTTAACTCTAAAAGTGACATAAATGACGTTCTTAGATTTGATTAGTGGTAGTACTTGGGGCAAATCAATCCACCTGGGTAGCAAATTATAATATAGAGCAGCTAAGAACAACGCCATACACTTTAGTGTTTGACTAGCAAGTAACTCTTAAGGACAAAACTGGAATGGATTCTAATGAATCAATTGAATTGATAAAATACTTTCAGCTCAACTAGTTTTGCTGTCTACTTCTCTCATGTTCTTGCCATGTCAAACATCTCGAAAAAGTTAATAAATCGCCTACATGGTTTGGATAGAAAGATTGCATTACGTAAAATTATCAAACATTGATCACAGATTTTTAAGGGACCGGGTGGGATAACTGAAAGGTCACATAAATAATGTGGTAACCCTCAGCAAACAGAACACAGCTCAAAAATGGTGTAAACATACTCAGTCACTATGATCAGTCATCTAAGGAAAGAAACTCGCAGTAAGAAGGCCATCGGCACTATGATGTAAACCAGTAAGAAAAGAATTTAATTTAAATAAAAGTCTAGTTGTACGACTTTACAACATTGTAGTGTTTTGTATCAATTATCAACATGACTTTACAACATTGTAGTGTTTTGTATCAATTATCAACATGAGTATAGCTTAACTGACATAGTACTATATTCTTGACCAAAATGTCAAAGGTTTGAATATCCCACAATGTTAGAACAAAAAAAACTACATGCATCCATTTGCACCTGAGGATTAGGATCAAGCAACATGCATCCACATCAATGAAGGCAGTAAATCCCAATATGCATCCGAATACTTCTTTTTTTGCTATTACATGTTCTTTTCCTGTTACCAAAACAATCATGGACAACATATATTGTCAATCTGAGTATAGATCAACTAATTAAGGTATTAAATCCTCAACTAAAAGGTAAGAGATTGATCCTCACTCCAACTTAAAAAAAAAAACTACTCCAGTCGTGAATACAAGATTAAAAATGCATATAGTGTTTAATCGTTCAAACTTTGATGGAAAAGGAGAAGAATGACGCTTTATACCTATGCTCATACCCCCCCAATACTTTTTTGTTTTGGTTGGTTCTTTTTTTCCCTTTTTCTTTCCTACCCCAAGACAAAGGGAAATGGTCATCAGCGCTTTCTAATGAATGGAGATTGGAGATTATTCTATTTAAAATTCTCTACAATGATGTTCAATCTCTACACTTAGCATTCCTAGTTCGTGAAATGAAGTCATGCTGATTAAATCTTTTAGTAAACCTAATGGAAGAAGAATAACAGGAAAAAAAAAACGATTAGACCTTCATTTTAATAAAGAATAAGTGACAAGATTAATGAAAGATAATGCAGCAAGAGATATGATCATTTCCTCAACAAGAATTTAAATGGAAAAATGATTGTCTAAACAATCATCAACAAACTAATGTTAGCTTTCCATTAAACTCCGAACTGAAAATAGCAGAGGAGTCAGTTAGCTTTGATCCTCTAAACAACTCCTGGAATTTCAACAAACATAGTGGAAACAAACCCCGGAGTACAAAATCTAGCATACAGGGTGACTCCTTAGAAGAATATCGAAATGGGACTTGGGAGCTTACAGAAGAGTACGTGGTATTTAGTCATACAAAACAATGGTAAAAGAAACATAGCAGAAAAATTCCCAAGTATTACAACTAATTTCAGCTTGGATGGCAAACAAATATCTTTAGAAGGATCGACTTCGAATTTGAAACAACGTACAATCTGCTATGGTATCTAAGACAATGAATGAAGGAGCAAACAATGGATAATCGACACTGCATTGGATTGAAATGTAGCTAGCTCTTGCAAATTTTTCATAATCAAGAAAAGAAACAAAGCAGGCTGTGAACAAATAGCATATTGACAGGCTCAGTCCTGCGGCTAAACTGCTAACAATTATTGGAATCGAGAGGGGAAGTGAAGATACTGGAAATTATCCGTTGAAAAAGAAATAAACAGATTTACTCCTTCCCACGATGAATCAAATGCAGGAAGGCGAGTTGAAACTCAACTTTTCCGACGGAAAAATAACCAAATGATACGAAATTTCATGCTAAGAAACGATTCGCATACACTACATTACATAAAACAGAACAAACAATGGATTTCGAAACAGAAATTTCAGGTAACCTAAACTAGGCAGAGAGCATTGAAACCGCCAAGAGAAGGAAATTACAGTACCTCAACGACTGCACTGATCGTAGGGATTTGGCACCACCAGACCGCCCGGAGGACGCCGCCACCGCGGGTTTCACCGTCACTTGATTCGATCAACGCATTCGCATCAAGGATTTTACGAAATACAGAGATCAGATTCAACAAAGATTCTTCATTGGACCAACCATTTGTTTCAAGATTTTATAAATTATTGATTTCAAATTCTATGAAGTTTAATTGAAAAATTATTACAATTAAAGATTAAACAATAAAAAAATAAAAAAAAATAATAAAAAAAAGAGACTTACCTTCATAAATTAATAAAAATATTTCTAATTTATCTAAAAAATAATTAACAAAATTTAAAATCTCAATAATAATTTTATACCATATAAAAAAAAACACACTATATAAGTTAATATTTTATTTTAAAAATTTAAATATATTTATAGTTAATACCATATTAAAAAAATATCAATAAAAATTTAAAAGTACCGTTATCGTTACTGTTACCATTACCGAGCTTAAACTAGGTTTTGAAAATATCATTTTTACAGTTCTTGTGCATGGATGTTCGAGGTAGATGTCTTTATAGCCATCTACTATTACATTTATTTTTGCACGCATTGGGTCCCTACAGAGATTTCTTCCTATTATATATATATATGTATATGTATGTATATCGGAACAAGGTGGGGTCGAGGACGAAAAACCTCATATTCGTCTTCATCCCTATTTAGCTAACAGAGAATCTTCATCTGGTTAAAGTGAATCCCTAGAAAATTAATAAATATTTCAACACCACCGAGCTAAGTGGGCAGAAGGTGGAAAAGGGACCACGAAAATATCGTTGAAAAGTCCTTAACTAGTAATCATTGGCCCTTATTCCTCCTCCGAGACTATAGATAATATATATACGTCCACTTAGGAATTTGGAAAAATTACGACAAGTCGTCCCAAGAGCTATAGTGACTTCTTGGCACCTTCACCACGTGAACTTCTTTTGTCTCGTACCATCAAATCATTGTTATTAGTATTATATATTCCAATTCTTACAAAATAGACGTTTTTTAAGCACTCTTCAATAAATAAATGGATGATCTTTTAAACTTAATTATTATTATTTAAAAAAAATATTATTTTATTAATATAAATAATAATTATTAATTATTTTAAGCATTTCTTAATGTTGGAGGATGAAAGTCGCACGTCGGCTAATTTAGGGAATGATCATGGGTTTATAAGTGAGGAATACTAACTCCATTGGTATGAGGCCTTTTGGGGAAGCCCAAAGCAAAGCCATGAGAGCTTATGCTCAAAGTGGACAATATCATACCATTGTGGAGAGTCGTGTTCGTCTAACATGGTATCAGAGCCATGCCCTAAACTTAGCCGTGCCAAGAGTCGTGTTCGTCTAACATGGTATCAGAGCCATGCCCTAAACTTAGGGCGCCAACAAAGGACTCCAAAAGGAATCAAGCCTCCTCGAATGTACGAAGGCAGTCAAAAATGACTAAGACTTAATACCATTGTGGAGAGTCGTGTTCGTCTAACACTTAATACCTCTAAACAATTTTTAAATGGTAAAAAAAAACTCTATTTAACACTTTCCCCCTTCTTTCTCCTCTTCCATTAACAGCCATGGCGTCTTTCTCTTCTCTTTCAATCCTCCTCCTCCTCCTCCTCCTACTTCATCCTCCTTCTCCGGCGGCTGCCCGGTCCGCCTCCCGGGAGTCACTGGAAATCATCATCGGGGGTGGTACCAAGAATCCGGACCCGAATCCAAAATATCCAACTCCAGCGCCGGAGTATCCACCGCCAACACCGAAGTATCCACCACCAGCACCGAAGTGTCCGGCGCCGCCAGAGTTCGAGAATGAGCGGCTGAGAAAGTCGTATTTCGTGATACAGAGGCTGAAGAAGAAAATCACCGGCGGGAGGATGGACGTGGTGAAGACATGGGACGGGAAGGACGTGTGCCGGTACAAAGGGTTCCGATGCGACCCTCTTCTGGTGGAGAAAGAGAGGGCTGTTTCTGCAGTGATGTTTAATGGCTTCAAATTTGAAGGTCCAGAGCTCTGTCTTGAAGGATTCATGGACGAATTGGACGATATCGCTGTGTTTCACGCCAATTCCAATTTCTTCCTCGGCCCAATTCCAAAGAAAATCAATCGCCAACGATTCTTCTATGAAATGGATCTCAGCAACAACAAGCTTCCAGGTTCGTAATTCTTTCAATTTCACTCAAATCCGTTCCATTCGATCAACCACAACTCAAACAAATCTAGTAAAACTTAGAATTAATGATCTCCACAATGATATGATATTCCGAAGAGGCTTTGGAATGCCAACCATCCTCCCCTGAGACCTATAGAGCCCTTGAACCGTCTCTCCTTAATCGAGGCTCAACTGCTTCTTTGGAGTCCTCGAGATTAAAGTACACTCTTTGTTCTACCGTTGAGGATTCTATTGACATGGTTAAGTTAAGAAATATCATGTTAGAAATAACAACTTTTGTCTTGATGACTCTCTTGACATGGTTAAATTAAGGATATGTCTGTTACTATGTGTTAGGAATAACGATTCTCTAAAATGGTATGATATTGTCTAATGACTTTGTTGACACGGTTAAATTAAGGGCATGTCATTATTACTATGTTAGTAATAACGATTCTCCAAAATAGTATGATATTGTTTGAGGACTCTATTGACATGGCATGACTTTGTTACCATGTTAGGAATAATGACTCTCCACAATTGTATGATATTGAGGGTTTAACCCTGATACCATGGAATAATGATTTTCAAGAGTGGTATAATATTGTCCATTTTGAGCATATGTTCTTGTGACTTCGTATCAATGGAGATTTTATTTATAAACACATGATCATTTTCTAAATTAACCGACGTCGGACTCTCTTCCAACAATTCTCAACATTTACAGGCGGGTTTCCGAACAACGTTCTAGGAGCTTCACTGTTGACATTCCTAGACCTCCGATTCAACAATTACTGCGGCCCTATTCCAAAGCAACTCTTCAACTTAGATATAATTAGTGCGATTTACATAAACAACAACCAATTCAGCTCAGCTCTGCCCAGCAATCTCGGCAAAACTCCGGCCAGATACCTGACCTTTGCTAACAACCAGTTCACCGGCCAAATTCCGAGAAGCATAGGCGACGCCAAGAAGACAATGGAAGAAATCGTGTTCTTCAACAACAAATTGGACGGGTACTTGCCGTGCGAGATCGGTAACTTGGAGAATGCTGTGCTGTTTGACGCCGGAAAGAATCGGCTCACCGGTCCGATTCCGCTGTCGTTTGCTTGCTTGGCTAAGGCGGAGCTGTTGTACTTGGCGGACAACCAGTTGTACGGTCCAGTGCCGGAGGAGATCTGTAAATTGCCTAAACTCGGCAACTTCACATTGAGGAATAATTTCTTCACTAAGGTACAACGCTGACTTTTCCTTCTAATAATTTATTTTTTATTTTTTTAAAAAATTTTGAAAATAGAATTAAAATTTTTAAATAGTAACAAATTAATTATTTTTTAAATATTACCCCCAAAATTAAAAATTTATAAATATATTTTCTATTATGTTTAAATATTTATGATTTTATATTAGGTGGGACCTATGTGCAAACAATTGATAAAGAAAAAGATTTTAGACGTTTCGAACAACTGCATTCCCGGGCTTCCAAATCAGAAATGCAAAGAAGACTGTGAAGAGTTTGCCTGTAGACCTAAATACCGTGGGAACGACAAGTCGTTCACGTACATTCCTTGCAAAAATAATTACTATCTTCATTCACACGTTTCGAAGCCCAATGATAATGTAAACTATGTGTCGCCCAAGAGAACCTATGCTGCTCTTGCTCCCGACCCACAATAGTTTTAATTAATTTAATAAATAAACTTTTAATTGTATTAAGGGGAAAAAAAATGTTATATGCCCTTTTAATTGTAATATTATAAGGTTGGTGTTTTTTTTTAATATATAGTTTTAATCGTAATATGATGAGGTAATGTGAGGAAGCATTACGTCATCACTCCCTCGTCATGCTGATCAAAATGGGCCAACAACATGAAAAAGATGGATCACATTTCCACAAATTCATTTATTTATTATTATTATTATTTGGATAAGGAAAATAAAAAGTAGTAAAAGCCAATTTCAACCACAATATTTCTTTTCCATAATTTAAGACCCAAAAAGGCAATTGTTTTTGGTTTATTTAATGCAATTTTATTTTATAATTAAAAAATAAAATAAAAGAGACAAAAGTTACCCTCAAAATACTTTTCTGTCACACTTGTAATTATAAAATTAGACCCTCGACGAGTGCAAGGGTTAGAATTTGCCCAACCTATAAGCTAAAGTTGAGAGAGAAATTGACTTCTAGCCATAAGCCTGCACCTGTCTATAGAAAGCTCAGTTTCCATTGCCAATGTTCCAAGTGTAAGTAAGACCCCAATCCTATTGTTAATAGATATTGTTTTCTGAGCTTTCTTATTTAGGCTTTCCCTCAAAGTTTTAAAAAGCGTCTACAGAGAGAGGTTACAACAAAGCTAAGAGAGAAATTGACTTCTAACCACTTATGGCTTTGTTCCTTGTAAGAAGCCTGCACCTGTCTATAGAAAGCTCGGTTTCCATTGCCAATGTTCCAAGTGTAAGTAAGACCCCAACCCTATTGTTAATAGATATTGTTTTCAGGGCTTTCCCTCAAAGTTTTAAAAAGCGTATAACAGGAGAGGTATATATATATATATATATATATATATATATATATATATATATATATATATATATATATATATATATATATATATATATATAGCATGCATACGAAAGTACAAATCAAGCCCAAGATCAGCCCATATATTGACATAAATTTAAGTGCGTGAGGACAAAGATTTAATATTGTGTTATATATGGTTATATCAAGCCCAAGCTCAGCATGCTCAAATGCTCATTGTGTTCTTCATATGTATACATATTTCTGGTTACGGAATCACCACTTATTCATCTAATCCTTCAATTACTAGAACAGCAGAGAGTTATAAGATAGTGATATGATAAGAAAATTCAGTACCTTTCTGTCTGGTTATTCTTGAACAAACCATTCAAATCCGAGACCTGATATCATCAAAGAAGGCCTTCAAATCAGAGAAAGATGATCCACCATCTTCAATGGCTTCCCTTGCCTGAATTCCAAGCGCTTCTGCTCTGCTTCTCATGCCTTCAGCTTCTTCCCCCACCATAACTCGGTTCACTGCCTTCTCGATCGCCTCACTCGTTATCAAATCCTTCCCAGCTCTTCCCCAATGCATAGCACCGACGCTGACTCCGATCTTTAGAACATCCGTTATCAGCTTCTCATTGTAGAATTGTTCTGCAGAATTTGGCCATGTGACCATTGGCAACCCAGCAGTCACTCCTTCCAGAGCTGAATTCCAGCCACAGTGAGTCACGAACCCGCCGATCGACCGGTGATCGAGAATCAGCACTTGTGGTGCCCAGCCTCTTATGATCAGCCCTTTCCCTTCTATTCTCTTCTCAAATCCTTCTGGCAGCCACTCTTCTTGATCATGAATCTCCTTCCTCACAACCCAAATGAAGTCTTGACCTGTAGCTTCAAGGCCCTTGGCAATTTCCAGCAGCTGGGAATTGGTTAAATTAGCGAGACTTCCAAAACTTACGTAAAGAACCGAATTAGGGTTCTTCGAATCCAGCCATTTTAAGCAATCATGTTCATCAATGGATACAGAATCTCCCCTCTGTGCTTTATCTTCCTTAACATTACTGTACAGAGAAAGGGGGCCAATATGCCATGCTCTTCTCCCCATAACATTCCTGTAATAATCAGCATACGCTGGTTCAAGCTCATAGAAACTATTGATGAGAAATCCATAACATCTGGATTCAACTTCTTTACTCGCTCGATAAAGCTTAATGAAATCCGTTTCAACCTCTTCTTTCAAGAATCCCGGCACTTGACTACGAGTTAATTTGATTTCATGAGGCAAATTAGGGATTACAAAAGGTTCTAAATCAGAGGATACCTTATCGAAAGGCCGATTCGCGATTATACTCGCCGCCGCGCTCAGAGAAAAGAAGCAAGTTCCATGAAATACAACCCTAGGAATCCCGTATTTTGCAGCTACGTCGGTAGTCCATGGAAAGAATGTATCGGCAACGAGGCAGTGAGGGCGATGCTGTTCGAGAATCCGATCAATTTCAGGCTCTAACATGGTGGTTGCCCTAAAAAAACTCTGGAACATATCCGGTGACCTAGCCAAATCGAGACTCTCGCAACCGTCCGGCAATCCAACGGTCGCTGAGGGGAAATTTATGATAAGAAGCTCGATTTCGCGGCCTGGATGACCGGAGTTGTTGATCGATTTGGCTAGGCGTGGAGCGTTGAGAGGGGTTGTGATAATGGAGACATTGACACCGCGAGAAGCGAATAGTTTCGCCATGTCTATGGCGGGGATCGAGTGGCCCTGCGCCATGAAGGGGAAGAAGAAGATTCGGAGTTGGGTGTATTTGGAATCCATTAGAGAGGAGAAACAGGGATTCGCAGAGATAGAAGCGGGAAAATCTGAGGAACTCTGTTGCTACGATCATGGAATTTAATACTGCAAATTGGTCAAGAAGGTGGAAGAAAATTGGACCCCTTCGCTCCGATTCGTCAAGTCTCGCGCTGAAAATTGGTACCAATCAACGGTCACCACCCGTTTCTTAATTGACTCAAATGTTTTGTTTCTAGAACCTCTTTAAATGTTACTCTTACATAATTTTGTTGATTTAAAATTAGATTTTATTTCAAAAGTTGCCTTATTAAAAACTAATTAACTCAATCCCAAAAAAGATTTATCGTGGTTGTTAATGGAGTAAATTCAACCAAATATAGTTCCTCTAACTTTTCTAATTGAACTAGAGCCAATATGAATGGATCTTGTAACAAACCCACAAACAAATCCATTTATATTACTTGAATAAAAATTTAAATTTCTTTTTTTCATACGATAAATTCTTAGTCACATCTTTATCGTAAAAATTACATCTATTTTCGTCCAACATTCTAATGAAATAATATATTTTTTTTCTTTTAATCATATAGGCATAATATTTTAAATGGAAAATAAAAGTCAAAGCAAGAGTCAAAGAAGTTGATTGCATTTGGCTTGGATTCCCGACGACTTGGGTGACGTGGCGTGCTTCAATGACTCGAGACAACTTTGGTTTCAAAGTCCAGGTCAGAGTCAACCATATACCCATTTTTTCTCGTCTCACGTCACATGTTTTTGAAACTCTGGCAAAATCCTTACTTCACACGCCATGGTGATGACCAATTTTATATTCATATTCCCTTGAAAAAGTTCATATTCCTCAATGATGCAGCATTTGACATTGTTTCTTAACCCAGAGAGCAACCCTACCCCTATAATACTTGGTTTGCCTTAAATTTATACAAATTCTAACTCGATAAATCCGTTCGAAGTTGAAAACCTAAACAAAATCTAAAAAAGTTCACGAACTAAAATAGATTCTGTGATACGGGCTATTCCAAGTACCTAAGAAAGCTCAGAAACTAAAATAGGTTCTATGGTACGGGCTATTCCAAGTACTAGACACTCTCGTTTAAGCCTCAAGTTCGTTATCGTAACTCCTAATTGAATCTCACATTTACAGACGCCATCTTACATCAGAACAAGATATCCTTAAAGCAGTAGAAAAATACTCGCAGATCATATTCAAAACGTTCAGGGAAATCTAAAGAATGAGGTTCCAACAAAAATGACCCAACTTCATAATGAAATCTAATAGCGGGTCGACCTGAAATGCTGGGGATACTCAAGTATTGACATGGACCAACATTTCGTAGTTGGGAGATTGGGAAGAAGAATCTTAGAGCATCAATGAACTTCCATTTTTAAAGCTATAGTTTGCTTGAGGACGGAATCCACAACTTCAGGAACAACCCAACCATGTGTAAACTATAGGATACTATATTCATGATCTACAAACAATGCTAAGCTTTTGTGATACATGTTTACCTCGGAGCACCACCAGCCAATGTTTCTAGAATTATGTCGACCCTTCCGCAGCACGTTTTATCTGCAATGCTGCTCTAACAACATTTCCCCTAGTAATGATACCCACCTGAAACATGAAAACAGAAACAAATAAGATGGACGGCCATGACTGAGGGAGCTTTGAAAAGTTATTACATTACACTTTTAAAGTAGAATGGAAAAGAAAAAGAAATATTCCTACCAGCTTGCCATCTGCATTTACTACTGGCAATCGACGATATTTTGTTTCGAGCAACAACCTAAACAATTGAAAATTCAAGTTAGTTAAAACAATGGTTTCAAACTTCGATAGCCACAGATTAACTTGTAAAAATGGGTAAACTCTTGATTCTGCAGTCTTTTCTCCAAAATGTGTCATTTGAACGATGCTTTTTGGGAAAGTGGACAAATTTCGCGCGGCTTATGTACACAAAATGAAGAAGTTTGAAATAAAACGAAACACAAAAAGAATGAAGTTTACTCAACCCCCACACACGGTTGTGAGGAATAAATGATGATTGAACAAAGTCACAGAGTAACATGGAAAAGATAGTCTTTTTTTTTTTTTTTTTTTTTTTTTTTTTTTTTTTTTTTTTTTTTTTTTTTTTTTTTTTTGAAGAATGCACATAAAAAGTTCAATTAAATGAAATTATATAATTAAAATTGAAATTGATTAAATATCTTGGTCGAGACATTGAAGAAACCATGGAATATATAGATTCCGATTGAAGGATAATGCAGAAGAGAGAGATATAAAAAGATTACCTGGCAGCATCTTCTAAATTTGAAGTTTCACGAACGACTAGTGGAGCAGGTGTCATCAGGTCGCCGATAACTTTACCATTTGTTTTACTGAGAAGTTTCTGTATCTCATTGAATGTCTGCCACCATATTCAGCAAAAATAAAGATTTATTTTCATTTCAATAAGCAAATGGTGGTGAGCCACCGCTCCACATAAGTCATGGTCATGATCATGCGACTATTCTTTCTCCAAAGAAATTTACTCAATTAAGGGATGCCGATGGCAGAGCTAATTTCTGTGACTCTTCTTTCTCCAAAGAATTTTACTTAATCAAGATATGTCAATGGCAGAGCTAATTTCTGCGATTCTTCTTTCTCCAAAGAATTTTACTTAATCAAGAGATGTCAATGGCAGAGCTAACTTCTGTGACTCTTTCTTCTTCAAAAGATTTGACTTAACAAGGGATGGGAGAGCTAATTTATGAGACTACATAGCTACTTCAATTTTAAAGCACTCTCCTCAAAATAATGTCAATAACAATATGCAAGTAACTATACATATCACGTTCTAAAGATAATTTTGCAGGTATATATGTTTTCTTGTAGCATGTTCGCGGCAAATCGGTGTTCCGTAAAGAACTTGAGCTGCTTACATGATCATTACAAAAGAAAATAGCAGCAGAGTGCTACAATCAAATATATAGAAAATCTCATCAGTTTTTAAACCACAAATGAGTTGTAATGGAATGTAAAAATAAAAAGTAGTGAAAACGACATATTTTATTTTATTAAAAGCAAATAGTCCAAAGATTAATCAGTAATTTTTATGAGGAAAAAAAAATATATAAAAAGGAATATTTTTTATGATTTGGGTTCAACTAATAGAAACCCAACCCAGACAGTTTGGTTGGATTTATTGGGTTTCTGAGTCGAAGCATTTTTTTTAACATCAAATGTCTCCATAACAACAAAAACAAATAACCTGAAGATAAATGAGGGCATTGCTTACATACTTTCCACGAACTGTCCACATCAGGAAACAGATTAGTATCACTTTGAGTGCCACCTAATCTCCAAAAAAAAGGGTGAAACATTATTGGGTAAGATAAGCAATAGAATAGATGGTTACAATAAAGTACAAAGAAAATGATCAGCGAATTGTGAATGAACCTTTTTAGAAAAGTTGTGAGCATTAATGTCAATTTACATGCACCTCAAATAATCTTACCAGACAGCAGTAAAATTGTACTTTATTTGGTTTTTTATAGAGCTTATAATAAGATATTAAGTGGCCACTATAATTGATCACCTACAGCTAGATGAAAATAGCACTATAAAAAAACACCATAATTGATCACATACAAACCACAAAACTTTGTTACTAGTCCACCCAACAAAAACAATTTGAATGAAGCACTTCAACATTTAGGAATCAATATAAGAAGGATGAGTAAAGTACTAGTAATTTAATTAAAACTAAAAAGGACAGAAACCCAATTTCAACAGAAAAATGCGCGAGAATAATTCCTCAAGTAATGGTGATAATCAGAAGTTAAAATACCTGAAATCGAATCAAGTGCCAACAAGTCATAATCTGAGACAACCCCAACCTGCCACAGAAAGCAATTAATGTAAAGGCACTAAAATCCTATAAACCAAATTATTATGACTAAGTAAGGCAGGTTATCAGCTTCAATAGCAGTATGGATTCTTGAAAACAAGTGTACTCTTAACATAAATGGACTAAACTTCCTGACATGGCTTAAGGGTAATACTTCGACCATAGATAGACATACACTCCAACCCCTAAAAAAAAAAAAACTGAAAAATGTCAATAATATGTTTATTTATTTATTTTGTATGACTATCGGCGACAACAAACAGAAGATCCCTTCCCCAGTCCCCTCTACAACCATATCATCAGACTTTGGTAATTCACTTCCACAGTAAGTTGGCAGTTTCAATATAAAACTACGAGCGGAAAGAACAAAAAGATGGAAGGAAAAACTCTACCAAATTCCAATCTTCATCCACAACAGGAAAACCAGTTATTCTCTTTTCCACAAGGGTTTCTAATGCTGTGACCACAAAAGCAGATGAATTAAACAATTATCATTAGCAATTATAATGAAAATAATTAAAATAAAAGCCCTAAATCAACCGCACCTTCATCAACTGTTGTTGTAGGTTTAACAACAAACAGATCCTCCTTTCTAGTCATAAAATCACCAACCGTATATGTTCCTCGTATCTGAAAATCATCATGATAAAATAAGAGCGAGATACAGACGGCCAAGCAGTAAGCAGAAGAATAAAACCGAGGCAAAAATAGCCATAGACAAATTAATGCCATAACATATATCATAGATCTAGCCAAAAATAGGATGAGATTGATAATTGTAAATAGTACTTACGAGCGTCGGCTTCCGTTCGATGTTCCACTCTAAAATTTTGCAGCATAAGCTTAGTCGAAGAGATTCGATGAATCGTTATAAAGGAGAAGTTTAATCTCTCGATTACTTCTCAGCCAAAATGGCATCAAATTTTTGCGGTTATGTTCATAGTTGTTCATATTGGACGAACATACAGATCATAATTAGGCGAAGATACGTGAAGGAATTCCAGAGGATGACATCCCGTTCATTACATTATGCTAAATTACATTAAACCGTCAATTAAAGTTTCATTTCCAGTAGATAACCTAGAGACAGAAACGCCTCCCTGGAAATGAATAATAGAACAACTGCAGCCAAAAGAAAGCGAGAAAGAAATGACAAACCGGAAAGGAGTTGAGGACGCCAGCTCCAGCGGAAGCGAGAACCAGAGGCAAGGGAGGTCCGGCGGAGTTTCGGTCGGAGATCTCAAACCTCTGCAACCTAGTGAGAGAATTAGACGAAGGCAGAGGCCGGCGACACAATTGCTGGCGCTGAGAGTTAGGAAGGTGGTGAGGATAAGCCGGCGCAAGAGCAAGCGCACAAGACAGAGAGATGGAGCTCATTTTGCTTACTGTTCGTCGAGTAACTGCGTTTTCGCCAATGGAAAAAACGAACACAGTAACCTGGGAAGAGAATAGTTGGAAGAATCAATAGCTGATCTACCGAACGGAAGAGAATTACAACCGGAAAAGTTCACAATCAAAGCGGAATCGGAGAGTTAGGTTGTAATTAGCTTCCGTTCCGACTTCCGTATGAGCAAGCAACACTTTCCCGAGAAGAAACGGGATAGCGGGAGAGGAAAATCCCCGTCTGGGGCGGCGGAGATATTTAACGACTTAGTGCGACTTTAATTGACAAAGAACGTGTGATGTCGGGCCTTTCAACTCCGTCCACTGGGTAAAACTCCGATTAACATGTACATTTTGTAAATAAAAAAACAAAAATAAACAAATGGATAAATTAATTTAAAATAATCCTTAAATTTATAATTTCTCCCTCCAATATTTTTTTAAAAGTTTATTAAATTTTTTTATAATTTCAAAAATATTGATCGACACATTTTGAACCTTATATTTTAAAATTAAATGTTATTTTTTAAACTTTTGAAAATACTAAATTATTTTTTAAATAAAATATTAATGTTTCAACTAAGGTATTTTTGGACTTAAATTTTCAGAGTTTTAAATAAGTTCAAATATATTTTTATAAATTTAATATAAATAAAACAGATAGGAATTAATTAAATTAAATTAAAAAACTCTCATCCATTTTTTTAAAATTATTTTTATATAATCTAAAAACTCGATCATTTTTTATAATTATAAATTTTGATTAAATTATTAATAACAAGATTATTATAAATAATGAGTTATTGTTGTATTTTTTGTTTTATATACACTAAGGATAATACCTATTAATATATTAAATTTAACAATGTATTGAAATTAGATTATTAATCAATAAAATTATAAAGTGATGATAACAATGTAATAATTTATTTATTTCGTTAAAATAAATATACGCTTATTTTTTTTATATTTCTTTTGCATATAAAATAGTATTAGTAGATTAAATAAAAATTATAATATTTCGGTTTAATTTTTTTTTTTTTTTTGGTAATGTATGCATTTGACATTATTATTTTATTACAAATATAATTTTTTAAACCACTTGTGAAACTAACTAATATATTAATTGAGTTAAGCATAATTAAATTCAGTGTTTATTTGGAATTAAGAAGTTTAAGATTTTAATATCTTAATAAAACTAAAAAAAAAAAATAATTATGCACAAATGTTTTGTTGCGTGAACTTTGTTATTAATTAATTAAAAAAAAAAACAAAAATAGGATAATTACGGAAGAAAAAGAAAACAATATTTACAGATATTTATTATTTATTATTTATTTATTTTTATTTAAAAAAACTGATTCTTTATTCTTCCGGAAGACCGTCAGTGCCAACTGAAAAAAGTTACAGTTACCGGTTACCTACGGATTCCCGACTTGACCTCGTCAGATGGGCCCACAGAAAGTTAAGATGGACGGTTGAGATTTCGCGTATAGATTTATCTCTAGGGTTTACCCATAACTGCCTACATATATAAGGTCTCGCGCCTTCCTCTTCTTCCTCCTTTTTCAGTGCAGTTTTATCTGCCCTCCAAACCCTCGCGTCTTTTTTGTTCCGACTCTGTCTCCGTCGTTCATACGTCACGCGCCGCTCATTTTCCGGCGCTTACTCATTCCTCCATTCGGATCTTTCCGATTATCTATCCGGTCCTTGTCCTTCCTCCTCTTCCTTCACTATCATTCTCTTCCAGAAAAATCAAAACAATTATTCGTTTTAGGAGTAGGGAGATTTTTCCGTCGGGGCTGTTTATTTTTGGTTCAATATCTAATATCTTAAGGGTTTTGGTTATCTTCTCCGGTTGTTCGTTGCGTTTTGCTGGCCTTTTTTGAGTGTCTGAAGAATCGCCGTTCACTGATTCCTTCTTAGGGTTTGTTTCTGAATAACAAAAGGAGAGGGAAGTGAGGAGAGAAAAAAGGGCAAAAAAACTAATTATTGAGAGTTTTTTTGGAAAGTAGAGAAAGTATTTCGAGTATGGCGGCTCAGGTGCAAGCTCAGCCTCAAAATTCCATTTCCGGCATCAATCCGGCGGGAAATGGTGGTGCAAATTTTGTGACTACTTCTTTGTATGTCGGAGATCTGGACCAGAATGTCACGGATTCGCAGCTTTATGATATATTTAATCAGTTGGGTCAGGTGGTTTCGGTTCGGGTTTGCCGGGACTTGACGACCCGGCGATCTCTCGGCTATGGTTATGTCAACTACAGCAACCCACAAGATGGTCAGTGTGACTTCACTTTTTTTCGCTTCTATTTCGTGTTTAATGTGCTTTGTTTATTTTCTTAAGCTCAATTTGAGCGATGAACATTTCTTAGCTGATTTGGCCGATTGCTTGGGTTGGTATAATGCTGAGATGAATTATAAATTTTAGGATGGTTCATGCATATTAATTCATAGATGTATCGAGAGAATTTAGTCCTACCAATCCCATAAAAGAAAAACTTGTAGCAATTTGATACAAATCGGGGAAATTAGTGTCACCTAGGAGAATAACAATTATAAAAGATTGGGTGGTTGCTTTGGGGGTTAAAATAATGCATACTGTCTGATGGCCATTTCTGTCTACATGACGTGAAAAAACCTGTTTGTTTTATCATTTTGAGAACTAGAGCATGGGCTGTCGGACTGAGAGATGCTGAAGATCATTTTATTGCATTATGATATTTGGTCTTCAGAATATGAAGGTTGTTTTCTATGGCTATGACGTATTTCTGTTGAAAAATGACCACTAAAAATATTGCATGAATACACCATATGTTCTATAGATATGCCTTCTAGTTCCAACAATTTTATTAAGGTAGCTACCAGCAAGGACAGATGATGATTTAGGCAACGATTAAATTATCGATATTGGATTAAAATTAGTTATTAAGTTCTTTTCACTTCCAAAATAAGTTATCGATCTCACTGTTAATGTGTGTGTGTGTGTAATATGTTGCATGAGTATTTATACTTGATAGTCCTTAATTTCAGTTTGTGCTCCCTGATTTATGTCATTACGACAGACATTATAATCCTTGGATTTAAGCTAGTTATTTAGCCTTGTGTAGCATGTGTATCTTAATTTGATGATTGCATTCTTAGGTAGGTCTGGAATGTTACATTGCTATGCATATTTTATGTTTTAAGTTACAAAAACTTGGAAGGTTGAGTTGTTGGACATGTCTACATATCAGCATTTGAACGGATTGTTATGTTCTAGTGTTTGCTTCTTTTAGACAAACATTTTGTAAATTCTTGGGTAAGATTTTGGGACGTAACAATTGGAACAAAATTTTTAGGACTTTAGTTCTTTTTCATTTGAATGCAAAGTTTTATTACAAACTATCATGTGATCCAAACAAAGATATCAGAGTCATTATTGCTTCATATTCCATAGATTCTAGAACTTCATCTTGATCTCATTAAACATTAAATGCACACCATTCTAGCTAATGTAATCATTTTTTGCTTGAACAGCTGCAAGAGCATTGGATGTGCTGAACTTTTCCCCACTAAATGGAAAACCTATTAGAGTTATGTATTCTCACCGTGACCCAAGCATTCGCAAAAGTGGGGCTGGAAATATATTTATCAAGGTATCTATATTTTTCATGTTTTATGCATACCTTTTTGTTTATTTCATGTTCATTTATTCAAATTGATTACTCGATTTTGTTATGAGTTAACTTTTGCATTTTAATTTTACAGAATTTAGACAAAGCAATTGACCATAAAGCTCTACATGTTTTTCATGTTTTGTTCATACCTTTTTGTTTATTACATGTTCATTTATTCAAATTGATTACTCGATTTTGTTATGAGTTAACTTTTACATTTTAATTTTACAGAATTTAGACAAAGCAATTGACCATAAAGCTCTACATGATACATTTTCGGCATTTGGTAGTATCCTTTCTTGCAAAGTGGCTTTAGATTCCTCTGGCCAGTCAAAAGGCTATGGTTTTGTGCAATTTGACAATGAGGAGTCTGCTCTGAAAGCTATTGAGAAGTTGAACGGTATGCTGTTGAATGATAAACAAGTTTATGTAGGACCCTTTCTTCGTAAACAAGAAAGAGATAGTTCTGTTGGCAAATCCAAATTTAACAATGTGTTTGTCAAGAATCTTTCTGAGACAACTACGGAAGAAGATTTGAACAAGGTTTTTTCTGAATTTGGGACAATCACCAGTATCGTTGTGATGAGGGATGCTGATGGCAAATCAAAATGCTTTGGATTTGTGAATTTTGAAAACACTGACGATGCTGCTAGGGCAGTTGATGCCCTCAATGGAAATATATTTGATGATAAGGAGTGGTATGTTGGGAGAGCACAGAAAAAATCTGAAAGAGAAGTAGAATTGAAGAACCGGTTTGAACAAACCATGAAAGAGGCAGCTGACAAGTTCCAGGGGGCAAACTTGTACATTAAAAATTTAGATGATAGCATTAGTGATGATAAGCTTAAGGAGGTTTTTGCTCCGTTTGGCACTATCACCTCGTGCAAGGTTGTAATTTTATTCAAGTGTTATTATTTACATTTTCTTTTGGTTTAGGCCTTTATCGGGTATAGTATTTTGGTTATTTTGTGTGTTTCAGGTCATGCGTGACCCCAATGGTGTGAGCAGAGGTTCTGGATTTGTTGCATTTTCAACCCCTGAAGAGGCATCTAGAGCTGTGAGTTGATGTGCTGTTTTCTATATATGATTTATTATCTATTTAGAAACATCCCTACTCACAATTGATTTAATTGCTGTGCTTTTTTCCATATATGCCTGTGATTAATGATGCATGTATATGGAAGGATTGTAATGGTTCATTGGTATAATTGACAGCTTATGGAGATGAATGGCAAAATAGTTGTTAGCAAACCATTGTATGTAGCACTTGCACAGAGGAAAGAAGATAGAAGGGCCAGATTGCAGGTTCTTTTTCTTATGTTTTCATACTTTTACTTGGCATTGCCATTGTAACATCATTTGTCATAATTTGGCCTCGGGGACATACTACCTTCTAAGTCGCCAGGCTTGGTTGCTTTCCTTTTTTTTTTATTTTTATTTTTTTATTTTGTCAAACATTATCATTTTGACTATGTTGTATAGGCTCAGTTCTCTCAAATACGACCGGTTCCCATGGCTGCTTCAGTTGCCCCTCGGATGCCAATCTATCCCCCTGGTGGTCCAGGTATCGGACAGCAAATGTTTTATGGTCAAGGTCCTCCTACAATGATTCCTTCCCAAGTAACTACTTTTACCAGACACTTTTTGTTGGCATTTTATTTCCGTATTCTTTACCTTTTAGTTGTAGTGAATCAGTGGTAAAATTGTATTGAAGTTCTTATTTACACGTTCATCCTTATTCTATCTTGCATTCCGAAAGGCATAGTGTCATTATGAGAGCCACATTTTCGATTATTGTTCAGTTTGTTTTACTCGTATCATTTTTGCCAGGGTGGCTTTGGTTATCAGCAGCAGCTTGTTCCTGGTATAAGGCCCGGTGGAGGTCCAATGCCAAATTTCTTTGTCCCAATGGTTCAACAGGGTCAGCAAGGGCCGCGTCCTGGTGGCAGACGTGCAGGAGCTGTCCAGCAAACCCAGCAGCCTGTTTCAATGATGCAACAACAGGTTGATGATTTTTCTTTCCATCTTTCTTCCTCTGTGGGCTTTTCGTGTTATTTAAATGGTCTGTTTTGGTTGGTTCAATGGATGATAGATGTTGCCTAGAGGAGGACGTGTCTATCGCTATCCCCCAGGAAGAGGTCTGCCTGATGTTCCTATGCCTGGTGTTGCTGGAGGCATGTTTTCTGTTCCATATGACATGGGTGGTATGCCGTTGCGTGATGCATCCCTCTCCTCTCAACCTGTCCCTGTAGGTGCTCTGGCATCTGCTTTGGCAAATGCTACTCCAGACCAACAGAGAACAGTAAGCATTTTCTATATTATAAACGGAAGATTTCAGTACTATCCATATGATTTTGAACATGAATCATTACTTAACTGGATTGCTTGTGATTGAATGTATAGATGCTGGGGGAGAATCTTTACCCGCTAGTGGAACAATTGGAGCCAGACAACGCAGCCAAGGTAACTGGAATGCTTCTGGAGATGGACCAGACTGAGGTCTTGCATTTACTCGAGTCCCCGGAGGCTTTGAAGGCAAAAGTAGCTGAGGCTATGGAGGTTTTGAGGAATGTAGCTGCTGCAACACAGCAGCAGCAAGCAGGCAATGCAGCAGCTGATCAGCTAGCCTCTCTGTCGCTCACTGAGAACCTCGTGTCGTGAGTTGGTTGGTTTGGTTTGGTTTGGTTTGGTTGGGGTTGTTCATAAAGCTTCCGGATTCATGAATGAATGAAAACATGTAGTATCCATGTGCGATACGATGACTTATTTGTGGAGACCACGGTAATGTGTTCTGTTTTTTTTCCCCTCAAAACTCCTGAAGACTACTGACAGTTTCTTTGTTTTTCCCCCCCCCCTTCTTTTTTGTTCTGCTTTAGGTTGAAGGTTTATTTTTTTCTCTTTTGACATTAATCCGGATAGTCATTTTTTTAATTCATCTTTCTCGTGTTGCTTTCTTTCGTATCATTATATCATCTCTTTGTTGATTTGGAATGCACAATCATGATGTTACTATGTCGAGGCCTTTCGACCGCTCTCGGTAGATGGCTCATGCTCAAATTCACTCTTGAATTTACTTGAAAAGTTTAGGGATTAAATTGAAAACTACATCAAAGTTTAGAGGCAAACTCTTTTTTTCGGTTTAAGATTTATTAAAAGTACTTAAATGATGTATTAAAAGTATATGCCATCGATAGGCTAATCCTTAAGATAATTATGTTTAATATGTTTGTAATACCTAGTAACATGTTTATCCAATTATTTAACAAAAATCCAGACATGATATACAAGCATATTGTAATCAATCAAATTAATAAATAAGCAAATTCTCAACTTTAATTATAACTCAATTAAGTAAGTTAACATATTCTCAAGCAAAAAAGTGAATTATTATTTTAAGTAAAATAATAAATAAAACATTTTATAAATTAATATCAAAAGCATTTTATTAATTCAACAAATTGGATGCAGTTATAATCTACAAAATCCTAAAAATAAAAAATGTATAATTTTCAAGGGGTCTAAAAAAAAAAAAAAAAAAACAATACGGTGCGTTTTGAATGTTTGGGGTTTTGTTGTAATTAGTGATAAACTGAGGGTATATTTCGAAACTTAAAAACCCTAACGAGTTAATCATATATAAATGCTTTAGCAGGCTTTGCCCCAGGCATTTAAATTTGGGGCTTTCACTCCGGCAGCTTTCTGAACCCCTAGCAATGGCGGCTCCGATCGAATCGGTGCAATGTTTCGGACGCAAGAAGACGGCGGTGGCCGTCACCTACTGCAAACGCGGCAGGGGTTTGATTAAGATCAATGGCTGTCCAATCGAGCTTGTTGAGCCAGAGATCTTGCGCTTCAAGGCCTACGAGCCAATCCTCCTCCTTGGACGTCACCGTTTCTCTGGTGTCGATATGCGCATCAGAGTGAAGGGTGGAGGTCACACCTCGCAGATCTACGCCATCCGTCAGAGTATTGCCAAGGCTCTTGTTGCCTTCTACCAGAAGTACGTGGACGAGCAGAGCAAGAAGGAGATTAAAGACATTCTGGTTAGGTATGATAGGACTTTGCTTGTCGCTGATCCTAGGCGCTGTGAGCCCAAGAAATTTGGTGGTCGTGGTGCTCGTGCTAGGTTCCAGAAATCATACCGTTGATCGAAGAGTACTAGGGAAGCGTCGGGGAGAGGCGTTAGTCGGTAATGATAATTTGTTTTTGTTTCTGAGTTCGCATTGCTTCGAAGACATCAAAATTATTGTTCAGTCTATTCTCAATTATAAGTTTTTGAATTTGTAAGACTTGATTTTCCGTTGTTATTACGATAATTGCAATCAAAATGCTTTTTGAAACATCGTGAATTATCCGCCAATTGTTTCTGTTTGTGTTAGATTGTAGTGCAGAAAACGATTAATTATCATTTTTACGCGATGGATTCTTGTTCAAGATGATCATCTAGCTATTGGGTGAAATAGTTATTAGACTTTGATAGTCCCTCGAAACATTGTGATCTAGCATTAGTTTATTCTACTCCGGCAGACTTTCCTTGAAATCATCAGTCCTTTTCTTCATTATTCACTTGATTTCCATTCATCTTCAATGAGTGTCTCCCTGTAGTACATGGGTTGTTGATGCATTGTCCTTTGCTGTGGCTGAAAATTGTAAACCTTGGTGCTAATTGCTCTGCTAAACTCTGTGAACTTAGCTCCCCAAGTGGCTGTTGTTTGACTTGGACAAGTTCTGGATCTTGTCTGGCATTGCTTATTGGTCTGAACTCCACCATAATTGATGGAATTGATGTTTCCAATGCCTGATTGATGATAATAAGCATTAAAAGGTGCTTGACTTATGAGTTCATCGTGTAGTTTAGGTTTATGAAGTTTGTGTTTAGTCCCTAGGCTGCTTATTCTAGGTTTTGCTAAAAGGCTTCAAGAACTGCCCTTCATCTACATAATCAAAAGAACAAAAAAGTGTCTATTTGAACAAACCTTACGTCGTTTAGTGTCTGAATTTCTTGTTGGACTTTTAATTTTGTGTCTAATAATTAATTAAAAAAAATTAAGTGTAGATACGATAACTCTTTTCAATGGGTAAAGAGCATCATTTGGTAAAACGCTTTTATGGCCAACTTCTTAATGCTTCCCTGCCTAATTTTGTTGCTCATTGGTTGCTGTGGTTGTGATCTCTTTCGGTAATTTCACAGCTCGACCTTCATCATAGTTACTCTAGCTAACCGTGGTTGGATTTGATGAATCTATATGTCACAAATTTGTTCATATATTTTGTTTATGTTATCTTTATTGATATATGGAAATCAATTTTAATTGAAAACAAATGTGTTATATATATTCAAACATTTAATCTATGATCTATGAGTAGATATAAATATCTTAATTGATTGTTCTATTTAGATTATTTTCACTTATCTTAAACTACAATTAACAAACATAGTTACTAAAATACGAAATTCTTACACATTAATTAAATGGTTCAACCTAAACTGGATTATGATTAAAGAAGCTAGTTAAGTTATGTTTGAATCGACAAGTTTTAACGAAAAAAAATTATAAGGACTAATTGAGTTACACTTGAATTGACAAGTTTGGATGATTTTTATTATAAAAAAATTGCTGTCCTAGCAATCTTCAAAATAAAATGTGAGATCTATTAAAACTACAAACTAATAAAAGCATACCAATAGAAATGAACGGTTTCTATTGAAATGATGGGAGAAAGAAACGAACGGTTCATCTTATATGTCTATTAAAGATTTATAATACCAAATTTCTCAAGAAACCCAAATGAACTCTCTAATAAACTTCAAAAACTAATATAGTTAGCTATCATATATGCAAAAACCCGGTTCATGAATAGTTTAAGCAACACTTAACTGATTAAGATATATATCCTCGATCAAGAGGTTAGAAGTTTGAAACGTCCCATTTCAACTAAAAAAAAAAAAGAACTAGGAATATGAAAATACTTCTTGGGTCTTGAGTTCAAACTATTGGCACTGATCTTCTCTTGCTTTCTCTGCTCTACCAAAAGCCTTATTTTCAGTTGTTCCATCAAATTCCTAAGAAAACCAACAAGATAAAATGTGAACTGTAATCACTCTATCATTCCATTGCCTATTCAACATCCTGGGCAGTGTCATTTTCAACGATACAGTCTATATCTCCTGCAAACACCTGCTTAGATACTCTGATTTTTTTGCTTCGGCAGTCAAAAGCACCATTTTTCTTAGAGCAGCAGTTATACAGTTGCTAAGCAGATTTCAGCAAGGACAATATCTGATGGGCCAGTGAAGAGGCTGAGCCTCGAAGGAGGGTGGACGGTGAGATCTCATGTCGATGGAAGAGATAAACAAGTGCCCGCGAGGATGTCTGGGCCCTGAAGGGGGTGGATTGTGAGATCCTACATCGGTTGAGGAGGAGAACGAAATATTATTTACAAAGGTGTGGAAACCTCTTCCTAGCGAACACGTTTTTAGAGGGGAAGTCCGAAAGGGAAAGTCCAAAGAAGACAATATTTACTAGCGGTTGGCTTGGACGGTTGTAAACTCCAATTTACTTGGGGTGAGAATGTAATACCATAACCAAGGTATACTAAGCATTCCGGAAAGGGTTCATTGTCTCTTAAAACTATTTCCAAAAGATGGCTGTCCCTAATATCTTGATCATTTCCTAACAGGACACAACCATAATTCAATTCAGAATCAAGCAATAGGCTATGAGAAAGCAGATAAGTGACAAGAATTGAGCACAACACATCAGAAGAAATGATACTCCACCTTTCTAATCCAGCCCCATGAACAGTCATTGTCAGGAGTCGAGAATTCAATGTTCTCAAATGGTGACAGAGAAAACTAGTTAAACCCAATGTAGGATGATGTATTTGGTTTCTTTTAAGTCAAACATGAGACAAGCATCTATGAAATTTCAGCTTTCACAGAGCTTTTAACAGCAATCTGACTAAAAAGTACGCATTTTTGTGCTGAGAAAAACAACAAATGAATGAATATTCTTCATTAAGGACCCAAGGAAAATCCTACAGTGAAGAAGGAACAATGAAATTTTCAGGTACAATCAAATGTCACTGATTCGTAAGGAAGCATACACAAAAGGGGTGGTCCAGTCCGCCGCTAGCAAATATTGTACTCTTTGGACTTTCCTTTTTGGATTTCCCCTCAAGGTTTTAAAACGCGTCTGCTATAGAGAGGTTTCCACATCCTTATAAAGAATGTTTCGGTCTCCTCCCTAACTAATGTGGGATCTCACAATCCACCTCCTCCGAGGCCCACCGTCCTCCTTGGCACTCGTTCCTTTCTCCGATCGATGTGGGACCCCCCAATCCACCCCCTTCGGGACCCAGCCTCCTCGCTGGCACATCGCTCGGTGTCTGGCTTTGATACCATTTATAACGGTCCAAGTCCACTGCTAGCAGATATTGTCCTTTTTGGGCTTCTCCTCAAGGTTTTAAAACGCGTATGTTAAGGAGAGGTTTCCACACCTTTATAAAAAAATGATTCGTTCTCCCCCCGACCGACGTGGGATCTCACATCCCTCAACTACAACACACAGTACAAGATACACAACAATGAGAACTTGGCTATTCCATGTCTCATTGTGGTTTTTCTTTTGTGGTCAGTGATAGGAAATAGAGAGCCAGGTAGAGGGCTTGCAGTCTCCAAATATCAGAGACTTTTGCCCACTTTTTCTTTTTTGATAATCATACGAGCAATAGCTAATTCTAGACATAAAACTCAAAAAATGAGACCAGTTTTGTCAAAAGGGAAAGGAAATGACAAATAAAAAGCAGAACATCCAAAGCTTAGAAGAAGAACGCGTTGTTATAATAATTTGTAAAAGAATCGTCAATTACCTACAATAGTAATTGTTGAATGAAGCTGGATGAGCTGCCTTCAATAAATATCCTAAGAGATGAAGTCTCTTTCAAATGATCTGTACTTATTCCACCAATCAACTGGATTCTTGAGCTTGAAATTTTAAGTGTGAAGCTCTCTAGCTCTCAGAGCCAAGGCCTTCTGTATCATAGAAGCCTTCTCATCAGGTGAATCCTCATTCAATCCAATACCAACATACTGAGAGCTATGATCGAGTGAAGCTAAGCTCTCCCATTCATCAGCCATGGCAGTAAAATCCTCCCTCATCAACAAAGCATTGTGAAGAATTGAGCAAGCACCAATGTATGCAACAGCAGTTTTGAATTCCTCATGCATTGGTTGGCTCAAAACTCCCCAATTTCTCAAACTAATGATGGCTTTCAGAGCTGGAATGGACATCAAGCGATGAGCTTCATTGAAACTCTCTTCAGTTGACCCTGAAACAGCTCCTGCAAAAGGCACCATTAACCATGGAAGCAAAGGATAGTCGCCATGTCCAAACAAGTATTGATTCACAGCCACCCCATGAAGGTAAACAGGAGGAGAACCCAGTAGCCTTTCTTCTTCAATGTCTTTAAACAGCGTTGTGGACATAAGCACCGTGGAGTCGTCTTTATCGCCACGAAATCCTGCAACAATACTAAGGATTCGTGACGAGGAATCAACAACAAGTTGAGTAGCGATGCTATCTTCATAAAAATTGGTATTTCTAATGATCTTGAACCTTGTACAAGAAATCACGCCACAGCAATTCGGAAGCCCAGCAATATCTTCAAAGGCTGAGGATGTTAATTCGAGCTCACTGGGGCAAGGGAATTCAACCCAAAAGCGAAAATTAGTGCAGAGAACACGACACAATTGCTTAGCACAGAACCTCGCTACCGACTCCGAGACGCCAAATTGGTCCGAAATCGTCGAGAAATCGCAGCCTGTGGCCAGCCGGGACAAGCCAACACCGAGTCGAATCTCAGCGGAGAGATCAAGAGGCGAACCTACCGGGTCACGACACTCGAGAAGCGGCTCGAGCAAACCAGAGAGCCATTCAAACGTCGAGGAGGTCATCCGAAAGTGATTCCTGAAAGAATCAGGACTCCGAGTCCGCAACAGATGAACTCGTCCACGGCCGCCGTCCTCACCACCGCTATCGGATGGCCCTAATTCAAGCAGCTCCGACGAATGCGTCCTCTTCCTCTTACGCGAAACGGAGAGAAACGAAAGGGATGCAGCAATTTGCTGGGAAAACAGGAAGTGATTGAAGAGAGGAAAGAGATTAGCATAGAAATTGGAATCAGATGAAGAATTGGACAAAAGAGAATGTGGGTTGGAGGAAGGGAAGAGAAGCAATAGCAGGAGGAGTAGTTGGGAGATCAAAGAAGAGAGTAAAGCAGCCAATTGCCGGGAATCCATTAATGGGTGACTGTCAGTTCGCAGTCACAGAGAATTGCAGCGTGGAGGGTCGGAATTGGGATTCGATTCTCTCGGGAATCGAGCAGAGCGCGAGGAAGGGATTGGTGTTCGTTGTTTTGTCAGCGCCGGACGTGGAAGGCGTGAATCTTGTACAAATTACGCCATAGGAACACCTGGCGGCTTGCTCGGACTACGCTCTCCAGTCTCGACTCTGTTTTTTGGTTTCACGTGGCTTTCCAATTTCGTTCTTTATTTGGGATCCCAAATGCTTCCAAATCTCTCCCCCTTTCACAATCCTTCCAATTTAGGGTTCATCATTTTTTCCCCAAATCTCCATTAATTCACAAAATTAAATGAAAATTTTCATGGATTTCTTACTTTATTCCGTCGATCTCTTACGTTATCGTGTCGATATCCTTATTTATGGAATGATTTCTTTGGCCTCGTGTAGCCATCTCGGCTCGACTTAAGTCGAGACGTTGAGTATTATTGTATAACGTTCGACATGGTGAAGAATTCCCCTCGAAACGACTGTGCTACATGTTACTCTTCACGATCTCGATCACGATCACTCATGTGGTTCTATATTTTTATCCTAATAACTTAAAAAAAAATGTAATTATTATAAATTTTTTTTATAAAATTTTTAATTTTATGTTTAATGTTGGTTAAAATATTAAATTTAGTATCTAATAGTTTTTTAATATTTTCAATATTCAGCGTTTTTATTCATTTAAATTATCTTTTTAATCAAACCAACGCCGTCCTAATCCATATAATTTCAGTTAGTTGGATTAAGATTTTCTTAAAATCCCGTCTTAAAAATTATAATGCAAGTTGGACCCGTTCTTGTCTTTTTGTGATAAGCTTTTGACCTCGTTTTGCTCGAGAGAAAGAACATGATCAGTAAAATAAGAGAAACCTACGCACTGTTATGATACTTCCCGCACCCACTCCAATGTTTAAGCTAATTAAGAGTTTGAGTATATAAAATTTTTTGGAATGAAGAACAAATGTTATCTTCGTGATCGAAGAGTTTGTATATCATACGAGCGAGGAGTGCCCACGGCACACGTCTCCTTCTAGGTCTACCTCGACCTCTTCGTGAGGACCATCTTTAGGGCTAACCACGTGAAATTAGGCTTCGACCCATTTTCTTCTCTTTTTATTTGTTCCACGATTAGCTCCTTATGGAACATTCCGTTAAATTTAGCTCGTACATTTTTTTGATTAGTTGGTACGTGATGATATATATATATTTATGTAAGTATATATTTGGAGGAAATTACATATATAGCCTTAAAAGATGAGAAATTTACGAACCTTTTTCTAGTAAAACACTTGCCGCCCCATGTTCATCTTCAAGCTGGCTGCTCTGGCACTCATGAAGCTGAACCCTTCCAGTCCCCTCTGCATTTCGTCATAAACCCTCTTTCGTCGAGGCCTCACTTCAGTCTCCATTAATTGAAGGGAAAAGCTCCATCCCTCCCGAATTAGAGCTCGATTCAGCCTACTGGGATTCCCTCTCTCAAGCTGGAATTCCTCTCTTTCAGTGGAAGGTGACCTTGTGGTTATCGCCTTTCTTGGTCTCCCTTTCTTGTTTCCGGACACTGCTGATCCAGCCGGAGTTCATATTCGCGGTTCGTGTGTGATACTCATCTCTCCATTTGTCATTCAGGCTTCACCTCTCCATGCGTGATCGAACCCTCCGCTGAAGGTCTGTTTAATGGCTGATTCTGATATCATTGTTATGAAACGAAGTTGTCTTTCGTCGTGTGTGTTTGTGCTTTATGGGTGATTTGGACTGGTTTTGGAGATGGATATCAAATGTTTTGTGTTGATATGGATAACTATTAGGTTATTGGAGGGAACTTTCTCCAATTGATGTCCTCTGCTGGGATTTTTCCCATTTCCCAATTTTCAGTTGGAAATTCTTTCTCCAGTCGTTCGTCCTCTCAATTGTCTCAGTAAGAGTTTTTGCTAAGGTTTTTGTTTCTTGTCTCCGTGTTTGTCTCCTGGAGAATTCGATTTCTTGTTTTGATATCATGTTAAATTTCTGGACCAAAAGGTCAGGCTACAGTGGTTATGCTCATCATGGATTGTCCCATTCTTTAGGCGCACTGAGGTGTGTGCCTTTGGTGGGGCGAGACACGTCTTGCCTGGATTGCCCCATTTTTTGCTATCCCATGCTCCTTCAATGAAGGCTTGCCCGATGGTTGCCAATAACTTCAATGGCGGTGCCTCATTAAGCAAGGCAACCAGTTCATCTTCTTCACGTTTTTTCATTTACTTTTCCTAGTTTAAATTCCTTCATTCAGCTTTAGTACTTTAACCTGACACTTTATTCCATTTCCATCCCGCCAAACAACTTGTGAGATCCCACGTTGGTTGGAGAGGAGAACGAAACATTCCTTATAAGGGTGTGGAAACCTCTCCCTAGCAGACTCGTTTTAAAATCTTGAGGGGAAGCCCTGAAGGGAAAGCCAAAGAGGACAATATTTGCTAGCGGTGGGCTTGAGATGTTACACAACTGGTCATCTTCAAGCTCGACTCTCCTTCATTTCCATTTTCTTAGTAATTGAGGGTTGACCCCTCTGCTTTCATTTGCTTCTTTTTTTTACTGAGATCCAGAATGATCCTTCTCGGTCTTAAAGTTTTTCTTATGGTTCCCATTTTAAGGCCTCCTTAGCTTAAGAGTTCATCATTTGAAGTACACCTTTTGCTTTGAAAATATTGCCAACACCCACAGTTTCCCCTTGTCCTTGAGGTGAAAAGAAGAAAACTGTTATTGTATTGTAGAAAAAGGCTCCCATGTGTGCAACCACTGACTAACCACACCATTGCTATGGGGTACGTAAACCTTTTTCTAGTATCTGAATGTAGACAATGTCATCGGAATACTCATATAGGATTCGTCCTATGAACTAAGAAAGATGTTTTCTCCATATTCCTCTAGTGAGTTGGAGTAGGTTGAATATTAAGAATGTTAGTGCTTGTTTCTGAAATGAATATTGATTGAGTGCGAATACTTGATCTTCATTGTGCCATTTATTGCTTAGTAAACCAAGTCTTAACTTTTGCAATGTATAGATATTATATTAATCTTGTTTATGTTTATGTTTTTGCAGAGTTGATCTTAATAATGGAGGTAAAGCCAAAAAGGAGAAACGCTGCAGAGAACGGGGAAACTGCGGAAGACCTTGCTTCATTGATTGGGAATGGCGAAGATCTTGCTCCAATTGTGAGACATGCATTTGAAATGAGGTGGCCAGAAACTCTCCTTCATCAGCTGAAGATCATTGTGAAGAAGAAAGAAGTTGAAATTGAGGAATTGTGCAAGACGCACTATGAAGAATTTATTTGTGCAGTCGATGAACTTCGTGGCGTATTGGTCGATGCAGAAAAGTTGAAGGGTGAACTATCTAGTGATAATTCTAAATTGCAAGAGATAGGGAGTGCTCTCTTGGTCAGACTCGAGGAACTTCTTGGATCTTATTCTATTAAAAAGAATGTGGCTAAAGCCATCAACATGTCTGAGAATTGTGTTCAAGTGTTGGATCTTTGTGCCAAGTGCAATTTTCATATATCTAAAGACCAGTTCTACCCTGCATTGAAAACTATCAATCTGATTGAGAAGAATTATTTGCAGAAGATTTCGGTCAAGTCACTAAGAATGGTCATTGAGACAAGAATTCCTGTGATTAAATCTCACATTGCGAAGAAAGTTTCTGATGAATTTAATGAATGGCTTGTTCACATAAGAAGTTCTGCCAAGGTTATTGGGCATACAGCTATCGGTCATGCAGCAACTTCTCGTCAAAAAGACGAGGCAATGTTAGAGCGTCAGAGGAAAGTTGAGGAACAGAGCATTTCAGGTCTGGGAGATTTTGCGTATACTTTAGATGTTGAAGATATTGATGAGGACTCGGCTCTAAAGTTTGACCTGACACCCGTTTATCGGGCATATCACATTCATGCAAGCCTTGGCACCCTAGAGCAGTTTCGTGAATATTACTATAGGAACCGAATGCTGCAGCTTAATTCAGACTTGCAGATCTCCTCTAGTCAGCCTTTTATAGAATCCTATCAGACATTTTTAGCTCAAATTGCAGGTTATTTTATTGTCGAGGATCGCGTCATGAGAACTTCTAGAGGGCTATTATCAGCTGAACAGGTCGATGCAATGTTAGAAACTGTTGTTAGCAAGTTGACATCAGTGCTGGAAGAACAGTTTTCCCTCATGGACTCTGCAACCCACCTTCTTCTGGTGAAGGATTATGTCACTCTTTTGGCATCTGCTCTTAGGCAATATGGCTACGAAATTGGCGTGGTACTTGAGGCTTTCAATAAAAGCCGGGACAAATACCACGAGCTTCTTTTGGAAGAGTGTCGGCAGCAGATTGTGGATGCTCTTGCTAATGACTCTGGTAAGCAGATGGTTATGAAAAAAGATAGTGATTACGAAACCAACGTTCTCTCCTTTAATCTCCAGTCGTCGGATATAATTCCTGCATTTCCATATATAGCACCATTTTCGTCTACGGTTCCTGATGTCTGCCGCATTGTGAGGTCCTTCATTAAAGGGTCTGTTGATTATTTGTCGTACAGCGTGCATTCTCGACCGTTCGATGCTGTGAAGAAGTACTTGGATAGGCTCCTAACAGATGTTTTAAATGAAGCAATACTCAATACTATTCATAGCAGCTCTGTTGCTGTTTCTCAACCAATGCAAATTGCTGCAAATATTACTGTTCTTGAAAGAGCCTGCGACTTTTTCCTTAGCTATGCAGCTCAACTATCCGGGGTGCCTCTTCTTGAAAGGCCACAAGCTAATCTTAATTCTAATATTGTTCTCAAAACTTCAAGAGATGCAGCTAATCTTGCATTGTTGAATTTGGTTAATACCAAATTGGATGAGTTTATGGCTCTAACAGAGAATATTAGTTGGACTTCTGAGGAGGTTTCTGCAAATGCAAATGACTATATAAATGAAGTGCTTATCTATCTCGACACTATATTATCCACCGTACAGCAGATTTTACCTTCAGAAGCCTTATATAAGGTTGGAAGTGGGGCGTTCGAACACATATCGAACTCTATCTTCGCAGCTTTTCTTAGTGATAGCGTCAAAAGGTTCAATGCTAACGCAGTCATGGCCATCGACAACGATCTAAAGGTGCTGGAAACTTTTGCAGATGAGAAGTTCCATAGCAGCGGATTGAGTGAAATGTACGAAGGAGGTAGCTTTCGAAACGGCTTGGTGGAAGCCAGGCAACTTATTAACCTTTTGCTGAGCAGTCAACCTGAAAACTTCATGAA